ATATAACAAAAACCTATTGATAGAGAATCGTCAACAAAACATCACATTTTATCTAAGTTAAAGGATAGAAAGGAGTAGCGTAATGTTGGATTATATCAAATTAGAAATAAAAAATAAAAGCTATTAAAACTTATCATTGTAATTCTATATGTTTTAGCAAAAAAAAAACTTTAGTTAAAAAGTTTATATTTAAATACATATAACTCAAAATATAGCGCATTTGCATATAACATAACAAAAACCTTATTGACAGAGAATCATTACAAAATATCGTGTTTTATCTAAGTTAAAGAATAAAAAGGAGTAGTACAATATTAGATTATATCAAATTAGGAATTAAAAAATTTAAAAAATAAAAACCAATGAAATTAAGAACTTATCGTTGTAATTTCATACGCCTTAGCAAAAAAAAAATTAAATTTTTATATTTTAAATATATATAATCCAAAAATATATATAAAGACAGTTTACCTTAACAACTTCTCTTGTATAAGAATTTTGTATTAAATACTTTAATCAATTGATTCTAATAAATTGTATCGCCTTTTATAAATTAATTGTTATTGTGATTATTATTGTAAAAAAAATGTCTGATAGCTCAAATAAAAATAAGTCTACCTTGTCTAAATCTAAATCGCGAAAAGTAGACCAAAGCGTGTTCACAAACCTAGTCCTAACTGATTTAATAAACAATGTTGTTGAGCACGCCAAAACATCTTCGTCCAATAATAATCCTGGATCTGAATTGCAGGACAATTCAGATCCTGAATTACAAGAACAACCCAAATTGCAAGAAAAAACTGACTCAGAATCGTTGGGGAAACTTGAATCTGAATTAGAATTGCTGGAAGAATTCGAATCGCAAAAAATAAATAGAAATGAATATATTAAAATTTACACTCACCTTGAGCTAAAAACATACAAAGAATGGATTAAAAATATTCTTCCCAATATTGCAGGAGCTAATTATATTTATAAAGATAACTGTGAGACTTCAGAATATAAGCTAAACGAAAGATACGTTTGCCACTGTTATGGGAGGCCAAGATCAGTAGCTGGCACAATGAACCAAACTATTGACTTTTTATCTGATGGTAGTCGTCCTCGTCCAGTTCAAAAGCCATCAAAAAAAACAGGCTGTAAATCTTACATATGTGTGTTAAAATATCATAATGAAGAAAGTAATAGTGTTCGCATTGTTTATTATACATTACATAATGGACATAACCCTGGTACCCTTGAAGATTTGCGTTATTTTAAAATATCTCAGCAAGCAAGGGAATGGATTTGCGAAAGGGCGAAGGATGGAATAAATCCTTCCCAAATTGTGTCATTGTTTCACTAGCGTATTAACCAGATTTATAATACAGATGACCTAGAAGCTCTGTCTTTAATACAGAGGCGCGACCTGTATATCTCCTATATTGATGTATATAATATTATTCGTGAGGAAATGAAAAGTATAATCTTTCTAGGAAATAAGGAAGAAGGATATAGTGAAAATACATCTGTCAAAGAATGGATTATCTTATCTAAAGAAGATGGTTCTCACACATTTGATAATCCAAGCTGGAGTACTCCTTTAGGATTCATATATGCCTTCCAAACGAAGTTTCAGAAAAAATGCTAGAGTTAAAGGGCGTACAAACAGGTTGTATTGATGGTACTCATAGAATGACTTCGCATAAAACCAACCTTTTCACCTTGCTCATTTGAGATGATGATGGTAGACACGAAGTACCTGCAGCCCATTTAATATCAGAAAGAAAATCAAAAGAAACATTAGTATGTTGGCTTGAAGCCATTAAAAAACAAAATAGAAACTGGAAACTTCATACCTTTCTCACCAATTGTGACGATGCACAGCAAAATGCTATTAAAGTAGTATTTCCTGAAGCTATGATCTTATTGTGCCAATGGCATGTTAAGAATGCATGACAAAAAAATAAAAGTAAAATTAATGGTGACAGCAAGCATTTTAAAGCACAAAACAAAAATGAAAAAAATGGTCATATTTTCAACCGGTCGGAAAAACAAGTAACACAGAAGGCAGCACTAGATGAACTTAATGATATAATGCGAATTTGTGACATTCACCAGGTAAAAAATAAATTTGATAAATATTTAAAAAGGTGGGCAGGATTTAATGAAATAAAATGGGTGGAATATATTAAAAAAGAATATCAAAAAAATTGTGAAAAATGGATTGATGCATACTGCCTATATGAACATCAAGAAATGAATACAACAAACTTTATTGAAGTGTGGCATAAGAAATTAAAATATACTTACTTTGCAGCTAAACAAAATAATCAAATTGATACCTTAATATGGACATTGCGAAATGCTTTAAAGGATGCAGAATTTGAATGTGAGGCTATCTATTTAATGATTGGAAGGATGAAACCTTGCCAAAGAGAACAGAGACAGCGTGAGCTTGCTGGTTTGAAACTAGATGTTTTTAATTTCCCAGGTGATCGATGCTACCTTGTAAAATCAGCAAAAGATGGATATTATAAGGTTAATATCAAAGATTATGTTTAACAAAATGAAAATATGAAACTAGTATATTTTGAATATACATGCGTAGACTTTAAATACCGTAGAATTGCATGCAAGCATATTTTTGCTGTCTATCAAAAATTTTATTCGAGGCAAGTTACACACAGTACACACAGTATTTCCAATTAATCAAAAAAAGAAACTGAGAAAGTTAGCGATGTCACTTTCACCAGTTGGGTTGAGGCACTTAAAAAAGTATGAGATCGGTATACTCAAGAAGACCAAAACCAAATAACTGATACTGACATAGAGGCAATTGTGGAGGTGGGAATGAAGAGAAAAGCCAATATCTCTTTATACGATAATTTCCAAATTTCTAATTCTGATATAAAAGGAACTAATTATAATATCAAAAAGCAAATGCATTAGAATTTGCTATACTAAACATCCAGCTTTTTATTTTCTCACTATAGTAAATTATTCCTGCTATTCACACCACTAACTATAAAATATTCCAAAACCATAATTAATATTAACCTAAACTTTGATTCAAAAATTAGCAATTAGATAATTATATAAAACTTAAATCTATTAAATAAAAATTAAGTAACAGATCTCTTACTTAAAAAAATATTATTATAAGGTTTGAATTTGCTTGTTAATTCAAAGAATACTCTCATTAAATAATTTTCTGGTTATAATTCATATTACTAAAAGTAAATCGGATGCCAAAGCATAACAGTCAAAGTTTAAGATAAAAATGGATATCAACTGATTGATTAAAAACAATATAATTACTTGAATATAGCAAAAGACAGAATTGTAAAAAACAGAATTTTTAATATTTTAGTTTCTTCAATTTTAATATCTTCGCATATACTGTACATATTTCGTAATTTAGATTTTCATAAAATATAACCTTTCTCCTATGTCAAAACATCAGTAACTCTGCCCACCAAAATTAAAAAAAATTTTAATCAGTAATCAATTTACATATATATTTTTAAATTAATTCATAATCAACAGAATTTTTAGAGAGCAGGTCATTAGCGAAGAGCATAATCATATCTACATAATAGTAATTTGACATTAGAACATGACTGCATGATATTAATTAGCAATAGAACAGATAGTAAAAAAAATAAAGTACTTAGCATTTACAAGTATATAATTAACACATATATATTTTTTCAACCAAATTTTCAACGATTCAACTAGAAAAGTCCAATTTTAATTTAATAGATAGACTCGCTCAGAAAAATATTATCCCGAAACTAGTCATGCACACAATTCAAATATCTATCTTTTCAGCATATGTATATATTCAAGCTCAATAAAGGTGTGTAGTTTTGATTATAAAATAGTTGCTAATGCTAACACCAAGTCTTACGTTTAACCCCTTTCGTGATAATGATAATCATAGATGATAAATGAACATGCGGTCCTAAATTAAACATGGATTGTCACACACATCCAAATTTGGCGGGGGAAAATAGATGTACTTGTTGTTTGTTTGTTTGTTTATTTACTAGATTACGTGTCTTATAGTGATCTGCAATTCAGGGTCTAGGTGTGTCACCAAAAAAACAGAAAAAAGTTTTTCAAAAGTGTTTTTTTAGAAAAAAAATATCTTCAACCAAAAAAGGTTCTAATACTTGTAATAAAAACTTTGCTGCTGTTCTAACAAATTATATATATTTTTAGATACCCTTTCTTTTTACTTAGACTACTTTGTATTGTTTCATATTCATATATACAAATTTTCTTATAAATAAGTAGATAAATTCATGACTTGCTATTTGTTAGTAAATTGCAGACACATTACAATTGCATAATAGTTACCTAATAAGTATATTGAAGAACAACAAAATTTTTTATCATTTATACTTTATCGTCGAACTGAGCATAATTATCCTTTAAATCTAATCGAGAATATGGACAAAACTCCAATAGCATTCAATGTGCCAAATCAAACAACTGTTGAAAAATATAAAAAACGAACTGTTTCAATTCTTACAACAGGCCATGAGTGTATCTGCTTTACTGTAACTCTTGCTTGTCTTGTAGATAGCACCAAACTTCTGCTATTAATTATTTTTAAACTAGTTAATGTACTACAAGAGCAATTTCCAGATGGTGTGTATGTTCATACAAATCCAAATAGCTGGATAAATAAAAAAGAAATAATTTGGTAGGTGGAGAATGTGTGATGTTGCTAGGCCAATTTAGGTTCAAATCTATATTTATTTCTTGTTCTTGATGCATTTTTCATCTATAAAATAGACTCTGTAAAACATTGTCTTGGTAAAAGAAACATGAATGTTGCTATGATTCCAAGTAGGCTAATCTCACATTTGCAACCATTAGATATATCTTTAAATAAAGCATTTAAAGCAAAGGTTAGTATTAATATTGTAAGAGTGAATTGAATTAATTTTTTTGATTTGATAATATTAAAATTATTGCTAAAATTGACTTTAAAAACTTATATAATATAGCACAGGTGCATTGTGATACTCTTTTACTTGATTGGTTAATCAGATTTTATAAAATATAAAAATTTTTAAAAAAAGAGCAATTTTGTTTATTGTAATTATATTTATTTTGAATTGGATATGTCACAATGTGTTTGTATAAGAATACTTAAAAAATAGCCTATTTATTTTATTATTTATTTTAATAGATCCGCCATCATTATACTTATTGGATAAATGAAGCTATAAAAGAATACATGTCAAAGAGTAAAATAAAATGACTATCTTATTCTCTAGCAACAATATGGATCAAAGAAGCGTGGAATGATATTGATCCTGCAATAATTCAATATTTATTTAAATACTGTAGGATTTCTACAGAAATAAATAGTTTTAAAGATAACTCAATTTTTAACTTTGAAAGAGTTTTAGATAAAAAAAGAAAAATTGGTATTGTAGAAATAGAAAAAAGTGATTCAGAAGATGTAAAAGACTTAGAAGACAATAAAAATAATAAAAATGATCCAGAATTTTGTGAATACTATAAAAATGAAGAAGGAAATTATATTAATATTTGGAATTAGACAATAGAAGGACTGATTCAAATAAATAAATATTAAAGTTTAAAGGGTTTTATTTTAGCTTTGTTGTATTGATTCCAAATATAAGCGATTTATTTTAATAATTGCAAATTTGAAAAGTTAAAAATTTTTTTTATAAAATTTTTAGGTGAACTTTACAAAAAATATCATTTAATTAATAGTTAACAAAATATTTATTGGTTATACAGTATAAACTATAATTTTTAAAGTATATACTTTTAGATGTTTTTCTAGCTAATTAATAATAATATTTATACAAAATAATCTTATATTTTTGGGATGTAAAAATAAGAGTTATGTTTGTTATTATCTGTAGAACATCTTTAAATATACAGATCAACTTTTTTATAATTTTATCTTTTTAGTATCTGGATATTAATCAATTTCTTTAAGATTTGATTTTGAATAGTACCTAGGGTACTATCCATAACCAGATCGGTATTAATAATGAGTAATATCTGGGTCTTAATTACAGAGTATTATTTTTAGAGATACTGTAAACAGTAGTATATAGTAAGTCTTTTCGGTAAGTAATAAACTCTAAGCTTGTTGGCAAGTAGTATATAAGAACTATTTCTAAATAACAAATAGGTCTTTGCCTTGAAAATGACTCTACGGTATCATGTACTGTAAGGTTATTTTCAAGACAAAGACCCAAATGCTATATCTGCAATCAGTAAATAATAAACTCTAAAACTGTTAGCAGGTAGTATATAAGAACTACCTCTAAATAACAGCTGCTAACTTGTAGTTTCTTTTCTTATATTTTATATAAGAGTCATTGACTTTACTCTAATATATTGTTTTTTTTTCTAGTAAAAAGTTTTTTGGAAATTGTAGTTCAAATAATTGTTGGAAAAAGTGTTGGTGTAAATTTTTTTTATAATATTACAAAATAAATTTCATAATATTATATAATATATTTTGTAATTCACATAATTCTATTAATATCAACTTAATTAATATTAATCTAAGCCAAAAACCAAATTTTATAAATTTTTATATATCAAAATTCTCTCTTATATATTAACTTTAATATAAATCCTTGTTAATATCACTATCAACATAATTTAAAACAGGTTTAAATAGGTTGATATTAATAAGAATCACTTGTATTATGTTATATATTATGTAATATTTTATAATTTATTTCGAAATATTCTGTATAGACTATAATTATTGTATAATATTTTAGGGCGTAATAACTTTTTTTTTGATAACCATGTACTAAAGTTTATTAATTAATGATTCTCTAATCAACTAGTGTGTGATCTTAGTAAAATATAACTCAGATTACTATATAAATTTATTATCCCTTAAGCTGTAGAGTTTGTGTAACAATTTTAGCTTAAAAATAGTATAAATTTAGTTATGATCTATTTTTTTT